CCTGATCTAGAGTAAATTTACTGTCGAGAAGACCCTGCGAGAGATTCTTAAAACTTGAACATTCCTTCCTACTTGATTTCATTCTCTCGATACGTTGTGATAATCTGAACAATAAAAAAATTGTGATTTCCCGCGGGCGGGTAATTTAAACTGATATAAACGTCGCGACAATATATCGCGCGTGACGATAACGAAACATCTCAAATCCGGACAAATCGCCTTCTTTCTCATGAACATGCATGCATCAGTGCACTGGCACACAATCGCGTCTAATGATGACTGCGGAGCACGTCGTACCTTTTTTTCGCAATATGTTTATACATCTCATAAAACCTACGAGAGACGCTTGTAAAATATTAATGCGCTCGCGCCGTCCTGCATTCCGTTCGGCAGTGAAAAGGCACGTGGCACACATACGTTGAATTCATTAGAGTCCCGCAGGCACTAAAACGCGTTTTGTTCCGAGGAGGTTAGCGTATACTGCTCCTCCGGTCTGGAGCGCTGGTCAGTCGGACGTGTCCGCAATTAGATGACACATTTCGATATAGGAGAGAGACCGGAATTAGTTGGCTACTGAGGTAGAGTTGACAAAGCTGATTATTTTCTAACAAGTTGCAGAATTGAACAAGCGAGATTTTTACACATGTCAAAGATGGCTTAGGAATCCCTGCTTGCTTGATTCTGAAATCTGTTAAAGAACAATAGAAATAATCGGTTCTGCCAACTCACCCCGATAACCAACTAGCCCTGGGTCCTCTATGCATCTCACGGCGCACGATCGTTTTCAGGCGAGAGTCTCTCCTCTTTGAAATCGCGCGCTGAGAAACGACGATTAATTTCTGTAAGGCCGATCCTCCAATTATATGACAACGATGTCACCAACATTGCGCCAGCTTTTTTACCTTCTGTATTGTATCTGCGCAAACAACATATGTGATGAGGTAACGACATCGTCGTTGAAAGTTATCAAATCAAACGATCAAACGCGAGTTAGCGATCAAACGCGAACGAGATATATATCGCGAATTTCGCCCGGAAGTTCGACGCCCTTGGCGACAGTAGGCTCCTGTATATGAAAGTTGAAATACTTTCACACAACAGGCATCCCACTAATAAGAACACTTTACAACACTTTATAACACTTTAGAACAGTATAACACTTTCTTAATAAGTTTGAATATTCATGTCTTGGCAAACCAGCATGGACATCGTGCGTTTCGATCGCAAGGAACGCGTTTGATTAGCGCTGACAGGATTATAGACGCAGCGCGCAATCTATCTCGTGATAGATTCTACCTCGTGATATCTTGACCTGCGGATTGAATAAAAATAAAACCGTCGCTCGCAAAATCGCGACTGACCCAAGCGAAAATTAATTTTTAATTACGATGTGCGAGACGAAACGTTAAAATCCGAAATATTATCGTCCCCGTTACATCTGATATATTCAGAGGAAATAATGTAGCCAGTTTCTCCATCGACGAGAAATCGTCCGAGTGCCGTTGGCGACACCCTTGCTTCGGTTTTGAGAAGTTTTTGACACGTCTCGCGTCTCTAGTGAATTCGACGATATGTCAAGTATCGATCATATCTGCAATAATTGCGTGTCAAGACAGGAATATTAAAATTCACTAAAAAAGTGTTATACTGTGTTCTTATAACTAGGATACTTGCCATTTAAAGTATTTCAATTTTTATATGACAGGAGCCTACTGCCGTTCAAGCGATTAGTCCACGGTTTTTATACACGATTGTATAAACACAGTTTGACTTGACTAGTGTGTTCAATATACATTCTACAAAATTCAAAATAAACACATCTCGTGGCTCTGAGAGAGAGAGAGAGAGAGAGAGAGAGAGAGAGAGAGAGAGAGATCCTCGGTGCCAGGCATCTCCGTAATTGCGGACGATAATATTTCTTTCCCAGCAAAATCACGCCTAATATTACGCTTTTCAATTAAATCGCCAAATTCGTTCTCTCGTAATTAGCTAATTAGCGTAACGTTATTTAATTCTACTTAATATTTCCCTAGTAAACACCAACTAACAGTAACATTATGCCAATGTTACAATTTTCCATTCACCAATGCAATAATATTATATAACGTTACGTTTGTACTTACAATGTTGAGTGGGAAATTGTAACATTGATGTTACATTACTGATAGTTGGTGTTTTTGGAAAGGGACTGGCTCAACAGAGAAAGACAGAGAAAGACAGAAAAATGAGAGATGCAATCGCTAAAGGGTGAAAAACTCTCCACTCTTCTCTTCCAGTTGGAGATAATTAACGGACGGGCATAAGAGCATGACCACATGACAGTACGAATAGCGGTAATAATCAGGTTGCGACAACATCATTATCATCTTTGTCGTCGAGTCGTTTCGACGTTTGACATCATAGCCTCGCTGAACAAAGGAAGGACCGCGATTAACGTATTAGCGCTAGTTTCGCATAATACACGCGGACAGTTCCGTATAATTTAAAAGATCACATTCACGCACGTGCCCACGGTTATTGTTTATTTAACCTTCTCACGTCGCGCTCATTTTAATCGCTCAACACAGATCCTCCTTTCTCTGTAATGCAAATCCTGCTTGCTCTGTGCTGCTTTTCAAATCGGCTGTTTACATGGACAACATAGTTTGTTCTTCGACGAATAATGGCGACATTCATCACAGACCTCACACACGTTGTACTTTATAATCGAAGAAGGAACGGAAGATCACATTAACATTGTAGGGCACTGTGTTTGGCACACTTTCCTAAACAATAAAACAAGTTACAAAATGACTTCGTTTTAAGATCGTTTTATGATCGATTGTGACCATTGATCTGCTTCGAGTAGCTATCAGTGCCTGCTGCTTCGACCATGCAATCGATAACCGATGATAAACGACGATCGATTCAACTAAGGATGTATTGCCCATATCTCAAAATGAATGAAAAAATTGTAGAAAGATTTCAAACTAATTTATTTTATATCTAAAAGTTATCACACAAACAAGTTGACATTGCTTCAGTTTTTGATCGGAACTGATTCTACTTTGAAATGTGTAAATCTAATAAATATAATGACGTCAAATGACGTATTAATGATGTACCTAACGATAATAATACGTAATTAACATATCATTTCCGCGTTTTCCTGCTGCTTGAAAATATCTTAAACTGTGCTGTTATGGAAATATATGATCGCTGTTTTTAGTAAAGTAAAAGATAATTAAACAATAATTACGAAATTCTCAATTTCTTCATTCACGCATACTTTAGATATTCGAAATAATATATGTAAAGTTTTTCAGTGAAAGAGGTAAAAGTTTAAAAGTCAAAGATAATATAAATAAAAAAACATAAGAGCATATAAGAGCTGTTATAGAACAATAAAACAAAAAGCAAGAGTCAAAAAAGTTTAATCTACATTTAATCCTTAAATTTAAGTTTAAACATTTTGACTATTGCGCTTTTTGTTTTATTGCATTATTACAGTCTGTGCATAGACTCTTATATATCCTTATATTTTTTTATCAATTTTAATTTTTACCAGAAAGCCTTCGTTAATTAATTTAAAAATAATATAAAGTAAAGCAAATAATATAAAGCAAATAATAAATAAAATAAAGTAAAGCAAATAATATAAAGTAAAGCAAATAAACTATAAAGATATGATGTTAGTGTAAAAATTGTTATTCAATTGTATCGTGTATCATGCGTTTCTTCACACAGAGAAAACAGGAGCGCTATTTCTCGTTTTCAGTGACTTTTTGCGGAGACTATACGATAACACATCCTTGGCGCGTTCAATTTCATTAGGATTACGTATTATTAATCTCGCCAACGCGCAACGTCAGCGTAAATTGGAGCGCAACCTCTCACGATCGTTAAAAGGTACTTTGCACCCGACGTAAAATGCTTCATAGACGAAGAGGAATTATTCATAATTATCCTCGTTACGAATAACTAAACGAGACGCTACATGCGCAGTTCACATTAACCTGATTAAATCTAGATGTTTAATATTCGATCGGCTCGCGCGATTGAAGTGAGAGAGAAAGGAAGTAACGATTGATAATTTCGTGACGCAAAAATTCCACGCGTCGTGTTTATGCGTGCGTCTCCAGATGAGAGAAGAACGCGTATGATCCGGAAAAAAGCACGGCCCCGCCGCCATGGTGCGGAAAAACGTTCATGACAGTGAAGCGTCTCCTTGAAACATCCGGTGCGTCCAATTAGCAAGGTCATTTGGCGTTATTATCGCCTTGAAAGTGAGTTTCGAGACTCATCCTAGAAAACTACTTTGCACGCGGACTCCACCACATTGAGCGCTACTTAAAAGCAACTTCTCGTGCTTGAAACGGCCTAACGATGCGGAGGAGTCGTTATCAGCGCGCGGTTTTGATAACATATAACACACTGCTCATTTAATATGAAAATTACAGGTAGAATATGAAATACCTACGAGTGGCAAAGCACCGTGCTTGATAGTCAACGATAATGTTATATCGGAATCGCCTTGAGGAAGCGATTGAATAACAAATGAGCGACGGCTCATCAAGCAAACAAACGAAAACAACCGCTCCATTCACGTGTCTTGCGCGCGCACGTGCATCGCGCCAATTCGACTGCGTCGAATGCGGGTCAAGTTACTATTTCTTTAAATTAACGCCAGCGAAATAATAGGCCACTTTTTTGGTGTTATCAGCAGACTTACTTTGTTATCAGGTGAAGGGAAACGTGTGCCACCATCTCGTGGTCAAGCCGCTAAACACGGACGACTGCTGGTGCGCGCGCAACACGCGCTCTTATCGATGAATACGGTGGGAGCAAGCTGGATGAATTGCACGAGGTAGGCGAAGGGGAGAGACGGGTGTCAGAACTATGTGGGCGCGTAGGAAGCAGAGAGTTGAGGAAAGAGAAGGAGGCAAAAGAGTAGAGAGAAAGAGAGAGAGAGAGAGAGAGAGAGAGACAGCGAGGGAGGGAGAGCGCCAGCGCCTGGTCTCTGGAATGGGTCAGTTGGCTGGGAGCTAGGTGAACAGCCTGTCCTGTGGTACAGAGCATCACGTATGCCGTCTCTTTGGAGTCTGACAGACTGCTGGCAAGTGCGCAGGTGCTCGTCACAGGTGCGAGCGCCGTCGGCTCTTTAACGAAAGCCCCGTGCTGCCGACGGGCTTGAAGAAGCGGGGTGAAAGAGAAGGAGAAAGGTGGAGGAAGAGCACGAGGACGGGGAGGAGACATTCGTCGTGGGTGTAGCGCCGGTCTTCGTCGTCGTCGTGATCGCATGAGAGGTGAACACGCGTAGAACACGAGCGGACGAAGATGCCGGTGATAGCGGAGAACGAGGTATCCTCCATACGGAGCGTAAATATCGACAAACCGTACTGGGATCAGAGCTCTTACCGCGGTAGGGCTCTGCATTTTCTCACCGTGACGAATCCGCTCAATATCTTCGCCCCAAAGAAGGAACTTGAGCGCGCGCGCGAGGTCGTCAAGATGTACAGGTAGCCGTTTCAGCTATAATTAGTCGCTTTTCTCGGTTTCCTCGCTTCCTTTCAGCGAGAGAACGCGCAATCGTGGCGGCGCGCGTGGCCAATGTCTACGTGTTGCCGTTAACATCATGTATAAGTGGTATCTGTTTGCGTCATGAATTAGACTTGATTACCCGGCGACTTCCTTATCGAACGTTCGATCGGATTGGAGGAGGAGAAGCTCGATAAATAAGTTCGCTTGAGAGGAAGAGAGAGAAAGAGAAACAATAAGAGAGAGAGAGACACAGAGTCACGCGTCTCCCCGATTGTTTCGCGTCATCGTTTGTAATCTGATTTCTAATTTCTATGTGTAAGATAAAAGTACCAATGCCGGGACACATGAACCCTGAACATTTTTATTGGGTTTTGATTCAGTTTTACATGTATTCTCGATGCTAAAAATCCGACCATTTTTGACCATTCGCATTTAAAGACCAAGATAATAAGAATATCCAGAATTAGATCAGTGTTCGAGAATTGATACTCTTACCTAAGGTGTCTTGTATTTTTTGCACTTTGATATGCGCAACTTTGCTTGTTTGCTTGGTCGTGTTTCCCCGACCAGGCGGATTGGGTTGCGGTTTGCGTAATCTTAATATGATCGCAGAGAGAACGAGAGCGAGGACCTGGGAAAGCTCGGAATCACCGTGGACGATTTATGGCGATACAAATATCTTTATGACAGCGCCTTCCATCCCGACACCGGCGAGAAGATGCTGTTAATAGGCCGTATGAGCGCTCAAGTGCCCATGAACATGCTAATAACCGGCTGCATGATGACGTTTTATAAGTACGTAATCAAAATCGAAGTCTACGCGCGTCAGGCAGAGAAGTCACTTGCGATGAGCGCGACAGGCGGACTTCGACTTCTACGATACGCCTCGTGTCAAATATAAAACATGACCTAGCGCTCGCCGTGACTGACCCGATAACGATATCTATTAGCTGTTGTTCGAAATCCAGTTTCAGAAGCGATGCGATACGCGATTGTATTGATTCTCAGTCACGAATCGCGATAAAAAATTTTGAAATCTGAAATATACTAGCGTCATCCGGCTATCGCTGCGTCAACGTTAAAGCTGCCCTCGCTTTGAGCGCTTCTGTGCTGCATTATTTTCCATAGAGAAAAAATGTTGCCGTATCAACATAATTAATCGATAAAACAAATAATTGAAGATTCCGATGATAAAATAAAAAATTAAGTAAAATGAGTCACTGACAGCCCATATAGAGCCCATAGATTGATATCTTAGGGCCGGTTTTTCAATAGCAGCTTAAACTTGGATTCAAGTTTAAACTCTATTCTAACAATGCGTTTGTTTTGTTTAAACAGAGTTTAAGTTGAAATCTAAGTTTAAACTACCATTGAAAAACCGGCCCTTAGTATCATAAGAGGATTATTCAAATTACGTTACAGTCAATGATATTGATTTATAAACAAGCATAAATAAAACGTTTCGATCTTGTCCTGAACTTTTTTCAATGGCAAAGTAAAAGACATACAAGACAGTTATAAAACACATCGGGAAAAATCAATTGTATCAAAGTTTGATTAATAATTAATTTCATCAATCGATGAAATTATTCGTTATTTTACAGATGACGATTGATTAATCTTGATTATAGATTCATCGATTATTTTAGTCAAAGAAAATTTGAATCCTTTAACGCCCAACAGTGGTTTCAACAATACTGCGATTGAATAAAAAAGTCTTACTTCAGAAATGACGCTGTTGGTCAATTTTATCGATGCAATTTCTTCCTTTAACATTTTTCATCTTATAAAAGAACTGAACGTTGTACTATCAAAAAGTTTATCATGTTCTTTAGCAAGCTCCACCGACAGCCTACTACTCCTATACTTCTAGAAAACGTAGTAAAATTGAGAATAACTCGTGTGAAAGAATTGATATTGAATTTAATTCACAATTTAATTGAAAAGAAGACTTCTATTGATACAGCGACAGCATTTTTTCCGCGTGTCTTCTTTGGCTAGCACGGCCTAAATTCGCCGAGAGTCCGCGCATTCGTGGGGACACGAGTGATGCTTGCGCGATTAATCGATGAAAAACTAAAAATGAATAAATTTAGGTCCACGCCGGCCGTGATATTCTGGCAATGGATCAATCAGTCGTTCAACGCTATAGTGAACTACACGAACCGCAGCGGCTCCAACCCGATCTCGTCGGAGACCTTAACCCGGAGTTACGTAGGCGCCACCGGAGGTGCCGTCATCACGGCGCTGAGCCTGAATCGTCTGGCCCAACATGGGCCCCCATTGGCAGGCCGTTTGGTGCCGTTGGCGGCGGTCGCGGCAGCTAATTGCGTGAACATTCCCCTCATGAGGATCACTGAACTACAGGATGGTATTGAATTACAGAACGCAGAAGGATCGAAGGTTGGCCAGAGCAAGCGAGCGGCAAAACAAGCGATTACGTCCGTCACGTTATCGCGAATACTAATGGCTTCTCCGAGCATGAGTAAGTTAACATTCGTTAACCAAGTACTTACTAAGGAAAATGTTCTAGCTCTTCCTATCTGACTCTGACTGATTTGCATGCGTTAACAATTGAATAAGCTTGCCCTCTTTAACGTTTATCGTCGACAAAGTCGACTCGTCGCGAAGGATTCGTGCAACGTTTGAGACGTTTCATTCTGTTTTTATCGTTGCAGTATTAGCGCCGATAATAATGAATTACTTGGACCGGAAGCGGATGCTGCGTAACATGAAATGGGCCGCTGGGCCGATTCAGGTCCTCATCTGTGGGGTTTGTCTCACCTTCGCGACGCCGCTCTGCTGCGCTCTTTTCGCGCAACGCGTCGCTATCCCGGTGTATCAACTGGAGCCAGAGGTGCGCAACAATATACAGTCGTCCCATCCAAAACTGGACACAGTATACTACAACAAGGGCCTTTGAAGAGTGACTTGGGATCCTCACGTGCGTCTTCACGACTTCTATCTCTATATTAGGTTCAAGAGCACGGCCTACTCTCTCGAAACTCAGGTACAGACGAAGCATTCCCGCGAGCGTGGCATTCGGGCAACGAATGCGCGTTCCGCAATAGATAAAGGAGAAGAATCAATAAAGTCAATTTTTGGGCCATGAATGTTGTACTTTCTTGATGAAATATTTGAGATTGAGAGCTTTCCGAAACGCCCTATAAACTTTTTACGTTGGGGAAAACTAGAGTTACGCGCCTTCAAAGTTTAGGGCCACAGAATAGACAATAGTAATATTTGCTTCTTTATAAGAACTAAATAAACTATTTTTATTTTATTTATATGTGTGTTTGTACAACTATTTGTGCGTGCGTGTCTCTATGAGAACTATCATAGCATAGCAGAGTTTTATAAAACTTCTTTTGTTAATAACTTTTTAACAAACAATGAGCGACGACTAAAATCTTTTGAATATTACTTTTGAATGTAATGACTTTGACAATATATATGATTATCGTCCTCGGAAGGTGGTTCGTTTTTGTCAATATTTACCTTTTTTTATATGCAGAATATATTATATTTTACATATAGTTTTATAGTAGAATATTGTTTTTATATATTTAATGCAATAAAAATAGTTTATTTAATTCTTATAGAGAAGTAAATATTGCTATCGCTTATTCTGTGGTCCTCATTATCAAAATTTTGAAGGCGCGTAACTTTAGTTTTCTCCAACGTAAAAAAGTTTTTATAAGGCGTTTTGGAAAGCTCTCAACCTTAACTATACGAATATTTCATCAAGAAAGTGCGACATTCATGGCCCAAAAATTGGCCTTATTGGCTCTCCTCCTTTCTGCGCGAATTCCACTCAATTCAACATTGAGTGACTTAAACTTCCGTAAACAATCTACACTCCTAGCTGTCGTGCTACGGAAACCTACCGAATCACCGATGCACCCGACATCGGCTGCGATTCTCTTAACTGCGAACGCACGTACAGCTACATATCTTCTCTTCCATTTCGACTTTCATGTTATGTAATTTCGTAAGGTTCAGAAGATTCAGGGTTAACAAAGACAATAAACTATTGTATGTTCCGAGCAGTGTTGTATGAGTTTTTATTACGTATACCTGTTGCTTAATCGCTATGATTATTACGTGTCCGCTGCGCAGCTTATCAGCGGTAACCACATATGTTCAAGACGTACGTCTCGACCTTCGGGGGGCCTTTTGGATCGATGTTCTTCACGGGTGGAGGTGGTTTGATCTTCCGGCCATGTCTGCCTTCTTTGCGATGCCAGAGACCGCTCCTCGGCCGATTTCCCAATTCACGATTTTTCTGCGCGCTGCCGATCGGCGTGGAGCCGTGCTCGACGTTCGATAGTCGGCCGACCGTGGCCATGCACGTCTGGTGCAAGCTGAAGTGCTTCTTGCTGGGCATCTGGACGATCACACGATCTTCATTGTGCTCCGTCACCGTACCAAAGGTGCCAGCCGCGTGTATCAGGCTGCCACCCAATCCTGGGTACATCTCCACGCAACTCACTATGGTCCCCACCGGCAGAGCGCCGAGAGGATAGGCATCTCCCTCCGATGGTCGTATAAAATTACGCGGTATTCCCTGGTGAGTGCGCAGTATGTCGCCCGGTTTCATGTTCTGCGTAGCCAAAATGTACTTCAACTCGCGGCCCGTGGCGACCAACGCGACGAAAGCAGTTCTGCAACCATCTTTGAAGATCTCTAAGACTTTCTCCTCCTTGGGCGGCTCGTTCAGGTCTTTCGGCCCGTCCCTGACCCATTTGATCCAATGGTACTTGTGCTTTATACCACCGCCGATACCATTAGCCACTACTCTACCTGTTTCAGGGATATATTTGGCGATTGGTACTTCCAATGATGATTATGCATGGCTTAAAATGAAAGAGGAAGGAGGAGAACGATATGCTTCGCAAAATTTGCACGTTTCTACGCGGTATTTCGTCGAAAGTATTTCTATCGCGATCGGGAATTTTATCATTACGTCATTCAGCCGAATTCTGCATGTGGCAAATATAACGTTGATTGCTGAAGTAAATGACGATTAACGTGAGTCGATATGTAAGTCTCCTGCGTTATCTTCCAACGGTTCCCCAAATTTCTACGTTTCCCACTCATTTCTGCTGATAAATTAAGTGTATCGATTTCAATTAATTAATGTAATTTATTTCTATTATTTATTATTTTTAAATTTATGTATACGATATTAGATGTGTGCAGAGGTTCTTCTTATTCGTCTCTTCTTTTTGTTGTTTACAAAATTCTAGTTATATTTATAAAAGAATCAAAGACATGTTCAATTATATAATTCAAAAAGATTCCTCGTCTCTTTATACAGTGTTGGGCAGAGTACTAAGTTTTTCACATCTAAAACTTGACAGCTTAATGACAACAAAGTCATAATGAATTTTGTGAATGTCACTTATTTTTCAGGAAATACTAATTGTTCACAAGTGCTTCTAAGGCATGTTGCATGAATCAAAAGGAACGACAATCTAAAATAACTTTTTGATGACCAGTATACCAAAACCAATATTCTAATTGTATCTCTTGCTTTATCAGTCAATGTGAGTCCTAGGTTTGTTACGCAGCAGGAAAACTGGACCGTTCCCTTGGAACAAACAGAAACTGAATTTTGCAGGTTCTGTCAATTATGGCACCAACACTTAGACAGAGACTCGATAATTTCATGATATTTTTGTCAAGTTGAAGTGAAGAGCCAAAAAAATACAACATCTAATATGAATTCTATCCACAGCTATCATGCTGAATATATTATAACCTATATAGTATAATCTTTGAGGTTATGTCGACATGAACGCGTGTCAAGTGATTTTTTAAATGACAACATTTTGAAAATACGATAAAATACTAGTATTCAAGTATAAAGCTATTAACTTTTAAACTATTGCAGAGGAAATGCTTAAATATGTCTAACAACAACGCTTTATATTGTTGACATGAGGAGTACGAGAATTTCGATTTGTCACTTATTTTTTTTCGCTTTGACGTAAATTTACCAATTGCTTTATAATGATAGGGAGCTCCGGAATTATAATTTATCGCAAATAACACTATGAGAACGGTATTACCTCACGTACCTGTAACAGGATCTCTACCACCTAAATTCGTCACTTGCAACGGCTCCACCGTGTATTCATCTTTGAAATGGACGATTCTTCGATAACTTTTACCATTTATGCCCGGTTTCGGTACTTTCACGAATTTACATCGAAACCTCTTTGGTACTTGATTCAACACTGAGGCTGTTAAATCGGATATTTGTTGACAGAAAATGCGACGTGCCAACATTGCAGCAGACATCTTGACTTTAATCTACTCTCTCTCTCTCTCTTTCTGTCTCTCCCAATAGATGGCTCTAGATTACACACTTAGATGTCACACTTAGGCTGCGTTCGTGGAGACGCTATTTAGCGCTACGAGCATCCTCTGTCCTTGTTCAACTTTTAGAAATAAACAAGGACAGAACACACTCATAGCGCTAAATAGCGTCTCCTCGAATACAGCCTTAGATTGAGTTGGAGCAGAGAGAAGCCTGAGAGTGGCCACCAACTTGATTTTAGCGTCCAGAGTAAGGCGCATTTTCGAGACGCCATCTAACAAAATGCGCCTTTACTACGTTCGTTAGACGCATTTTTGCGGTGGTAATACTAATAATATATACTATAATAATACTATTAATAAAGGTTCATTAAAGCAGTGGAAGGGTGCGTAATTTTCGACGTCGCTGACAGCCATTTCGCTACCGATTGCATTTTTCGGACATTTCTCAGCAACGACTAAAGATATCAAAGTGACTCAAAGAGCACAATCTGTCCCACAATTCATCTTAATAGAACTAGTAATTTATAATAATACAAATAATACCGGAGACCAAATAACTCGGTTCGAATCTCGGTTAAATAGTTTAGGGGAGACGCCAAATACATCGGTTCAAATCTCGACTTAATAATTTAGCGGGAAAATTTAGATATGATGAGATATAGTGGATCCAACGTTCAGAACGCGACTTTGGGATATTGGAAAATTATTTTCAACATTCTGGGCGTGTTACTGAGAGAGTAGAGTGACATTAACACACATTGACATCCAAGAGACGATGCAGAGCAAAATACGCATACGTTACGTCATTTCCGAAAATATACCTTTGCAAACGCGAAAATCAATGACCAATCAAACCAAATACTAACCAGTCAGAGTTGATTATTCTCCTTACATTCGAGGAATAATCGACTGTGATTGGTCAGTTTTCTTACGTCCTTACGGTTACGGTTAAAATTTTTCTACGTGCAAAGGTCTTTACTGTCATTGTACTATCATTGTACGGAAGTACAACGGAAAGAAAACCAGAAGTATTTTATCGTTACCACCGCGAAAATGTGCCTAATGAACGTAGTAAAGGTGCACTTTGTTAGATGGCATCTCAAAAATGCGTCTAGCTCTGGCTATTGAAATCAGGCTGGTGGCCGCTCTCATGCTTCTCTCTGGTTGGAGATGCGCGATACATGATGAATCAATTATCGATTCAGATCTTTCGATAGATTGATTGTCTCCTCGATATTTTCAAATTCAATTAACTCTGTTGTCTGTAGCTTATTCCAATACAATTTATTAAATTATATCACTCAACTTCATTGATCTCCTATAGCGCTTGTATGTATTTACTACATATGTATACTTGATTCGAATTCCAAACTTATATTTATTCCTATTAAATAGAAATAAGAAGTTTATCTGCTGTTTAATCACGAAATCAAAAGTTCACCTGATTTGTCACGTTAAATCGTATTACAACGTGGGTTTTTTATTAAAATTCATAGGGACTATTTAGCCGAGATTTAAACCTCATTTAGCTGAGACTCAAACTCGTTAGGTAAATGAATTGCACGCAACATACACACAAGCCTTGGAAATCAATATTATACTAAAATATAGTTCTAAACTGTCCGCTACGAGCCGCCACTGTTTCTACTGGCAAATCGAGGTAGTAGTATGACTCGGCGGCAGGCCAGACATTCTTTATTTTTTAATATTATGTTCCTTCTTTCTTTAAAACATTTATAAGTAATAATAAATATTATAATAATTAATAATTTGTTAAACATAAAATAATTAAAAAGATTATGGAATTTATTCGATCATTTCTCGCGATATCTTTATGATACAATAATTATCAGAGATCGATCGGTCAGAACATCTTTTAAAAATTTCAAGATATACTTTGGGTAAAAAGTGACTTTTTACTTTTCATATGACTTAATAAAATTAAACCTGTCATTTCTCAGCTTTTATATCTAACGAATAAAAAGAATAAGAGATTGTGCCTGCCCATATCTCTTGTGTAAATGCAGCGTGTCAAAATTCGAACAGATAAATTTAATTAGTCCTTTAATCGCGCGAATACATGCGATTTCGCCCACAGACCACGTTTCACAACTCAGTCACGGTATCTTCAAAATCCGTGATTCGCGACGACTTTCATGTTAAAATACGCCAGCAAAGGCACAGATCCGCGTCGTTCGCGCTCTTCGTAATGAGGCTGAAGTTTGATCGTAGCGCGTAAACGCGACACGCGCCAATTAACCGCCGTTTCTCAAGACTTCGGCGCGTAAATCCCGCCAAGTGATAACGAATAATAAACGCCGGGAATACCGTTGCTCCGTCGGTTTATTATTCCTCACACACGCGGAAAACTGCCGCCGTGGCGTCGCGCGTTGTTGGAAAAGCACGCGCGAGGGAAAAGGAGAGAGAGAGAGAGAAAGAGAGAGAGGCAGAGAAAGAGAGGCAGAGAGAGATAGAGAGAGAGAGAGAGAGACTACGCACAGACGAACGAACGGTCCCACGTAGAGAAGCGGGCGAACAGGGTGGTAGAGGGGAACGCTTAATTGGCCCGGGGTAATTATTTTATTAAGTGAGAAGATGGCGGATGGAATGCTAAGAGAGAGAGCACACTGGTGCGGTCTGCCGACTAGGGAGCGCCGGCGAAAACGGCGGGGGCGGCGAGGTAGAAAGGAAGGGCGGCGAGGAAGAGCAGGAAGCAGCGGGGGTAGACGGCGGCGCGACAGCGGAGAACGGCGGCAGGTGACTGTGTGGAGAGCGTTTAAATACCTACGTAGCTACCCGCGGACGACTGTACTCCGCGGAACGGCAGTTTTCCGTGTAGGTGAACGCGACCGCAAGTTCCGGCGATGTGCGTGGCATAGTCGTGAGTGTGTACATGTGTGTGTGTCGAGTCTCGCGCTACGTGTACGCGCAATTCTCACCGTCACGCACGTTCATACTCGCCCGTCTCCCACCGCGTACTCGCGCGCCCCTTCGTCTTCTCGCCGCGGGAGAGAAAGGCGGGCTTCCCGATAGTACAGCCGCGAGATAAAGGAGGACGGTGTACGCTTTTGCGCGCGCGTTCAACGTCTCCGCGCTGGTCGTGAAGGAGGAACATCTATTACCCGGTACATAGACCAGAGGAGGAACGGGAGAGGCAAGGGGGACGGAGGTGGTCGGAATCGCCCAGGGAGGGAGGGAGGCAGGGGTGCGGGCAAGAGTAGTCGAGCGGCAAATTGTCCGCCATCTTACCCACCTTATACCTTATCTCACACCCTCGCCCGTAACCACCCTTATCCACCCCTTCCTCCGCTACCAGCTCTCCTCCAACCAGACCCTCTCATCCTACACGCCAACCTCTCTCTCTCTCTCTCTCTTCTCTCTTTCTCTTCACCCCCCAAGCCGCCTGGCCCGCCACTTCATCGTCCTCCTCTTCCTCCTCCTCTTCCTCCTCCTGCACCCCCTTCGCCCCTCTTGTACGCCCTTTCTCTCGACAGCCCCCGCCGTGCCACCGCCTCGAAAGCTTTAGATTACCTACCCCTTATAAGCGCTCGTGTTGCCCATTTATTACCACGACTCCAGCGACTACCACGACCGAAAGACCAACCCCTCCTTGCCTACTGCTTCCATCTCCGCTGTTTCTTTCAGCTTTCTTTTTCCACCGTTCGTCCGTCCCTTCTTCCTTCCTTCCTTCCTTCCTTCTATCTATCCCTCCTTGCTTCCTTCCTACCTTCAGTCATCTTTGACGCACTCTGACTCTTCCTTTGCTTCTTCGTTCTGTTCTCAAGCACCGCCGCGATCCTTATTAACGCTTTAACGCTACCATTACATAACTACGCGCACCTGCTCACGACGAGCAGGCTCGAATAACACGATTAGTCGAGTTTACAGAGAATTACGCGTACGAGAAACTGTCACCTCTCTCCTCCCCGCCCTCATCCTACGAGCGGCGCGCCATTTGGCTCTGTTCGTTTAGACTTCAGTACGATCGAGCTATTCGTGAATGCTGCGGGAGTTAGCTAATAAACGTTCCTGCTGTTTACGTCTTATCACTGTCTGCGATTGTCACCCCACGATCAAGAGGGACCTTCATCTTTCCTTCTTAGTTTACTTAACTCCCCCTCTCTCTCTCTCTCTCTCTCTCTCTCTCTCTCTCTTTGTCACAATCTTACATTCGTTATTTCTTCCTCTTCATCTTTTTTTCGCATTCATGGAGCTTTCCCAATTTCCCCGACTAACCTTCTGCTAGCGTGCGTCCTAACCTGATCCTCCTCCATTTCTTTCCCTAATTCTTAAATATTGCGGCGCCCTCTTAGACGTGGTTCCGCAGAGATCCCGTCGTGTTCTTTGCGTACTACGTTTGCGTCTCGCGACCGGCAGATCAATCTTCCCGTCTCCGCCGTCTCTTTTCGACCGCGATTTGCCGCCATTTGTTTCCGCCCTCGTGCATTACTCCTACCCGAGTGCCTACCGCCCACATTCCCTTTGTTCCAACGCCAGCATACCCGAGCACCTCTCTCTGGCAGCCCATGCCACCTTTAACGCCACCATTACGTATCCACGCTCGCGGTTTACGACGAGAAGCTCGAATAACACGATTAAGCGAGTCTACCGACGAATTACGCGCGTTACAGAGCTACGTCTATTCGGGCCGCACTATTGCTCCCTGTCCGTTTGGAAACGCAAGAGGTGGTTTTCTTCGGCAGGGAGAACCGCCGAATACCCGGGGGGAGGAGGCACAAGCACGCGACAGTCCTCGTAGACGACTCTAATTCCTCTTTGCGAATTACGATTCGTATTTCGCGGCACATTTAACGTTGAATGTGCGTCTAATACCGCGGCTTTATACATCTATGAAAATCGTACACGACGCAAACAAGCGAGACGGCGCGGCGCGTTGAGAATTAGACGGCTACATTTAGCGCTAAATACACGTAGAAAATTCAAACGTGCTACACATTTCCGTCGCACGGCGACATATTTATTTTCCAACCGTGGAGGGGAAGAAAGGGGGGGGGGGCAATTAACTTGTAGATGCTACGCGTTGCGCGAGAAGACGCGCTGTCGTTCGCGTCGTGAGCTACGCGCGACGATTGAAGTTACGGCGCAGCACTGTGTGTATTCTGGGAGAAAATGTTCCAAATGTCGGAAATTGTGAACGAATCAAGTGTTGCGACAGACAAATTATAGC